AATGTTAAGTCCTTGACTTCGTTGTTGTGTTCCACGCGAACGAGTAGTTTGCCTTCTGGTGTTATCTTCTCTCCTGAGTAGGTTTTCAAAATAGCGGTAGTGTCAGCCAGAGGTGTGTTTGGGAAGGTTTCCTTGTACGTCTCCAAGGGGAGTGTAAATATCGCTGAACCTGTATCTAGTTCCATCTTCATTGTGTGGCCATTAACTTTTGGTGTCACCCAGATGACGTCACCAACTATCCCATAGTTAACATTGTTGACTTCTAGGGATGCCACCAAGCTATCATCATCACACTCATCATCTACCTCGAACGAGTGAAGGTTGGGGTTCTCATCCCTTCGTCTTCGGGTAGAGTTCTGACTCTTTCCTGAGCGGCATACTCTTTGGATATAGCCTAGTTTCCCACATTTTCGGCATGTTTCATTCCTGAAGTAACACTTGGCTGACTCGTGTGTACTACCCCCACATCGATAACAATGAGATTTTGATTTGACATCATCTTTCCCTTTTGGAACTCTTTTGCTATCCTTGTTTATTTTGTTGACTTCAGACTCTTTATTAATGTTACCCTGCAATTCAAGTGTGTCTTTCGCTGCCGCTTCCATTGCTAAGGCAATTTCTGACGCTTTGGCCAATGACAAATCTGGCTCGGAGAGCAGCCGTTTCTGGATAAGTTCATTGTGTAGTCCACACACTAGTCTATCTCTTAACGCGTCATTTAAGTTAGTTCCGAATTCACAATACAACGACAATTTCTTTAATTCAGCAAGGTAAGTACTTACGGTTTCACCTTCGAGTTGGTTCCTTTTGTGAAAGCGGAATCGTTCTGCTATGAGCAGTGGTTTCGGTGACAGATGCTTCTGTAGTGTTTCTACGATAGTCTTGAAGACAGGCTGGATGGCTTGGCTGGGGCGGCCAAATTGCGTAGTAATCCATACATTTTGTTTCCCATTAAGCTTAGCATTACGGCCTCTTGCTTGTCTTCCTTGATTTCGTTGGCGATGAAGTATTGCTCTATACGTTCCACATAGGCGTTCCAATCGTCGTTCGTTTCGTCAAACGCTTCAATCTTTCCAATCGGCATAGTGGCGAAAGCTCGAACTTTCTCTGGTTGCTGCGTAGGATCTAAATCCTCGTCGCCAATCTGTTGTGTCTCGCGGAATTAATAAATCAAACTGGTACAACACAACAACGTTTAATCAAACATGGCGGTTCATATTCAACAACAGGTGCACATGGCATGCGTGCGCATAATAGTAACAAAACCGCAGACCATCATGTGCGACATAGCACTATCCAAATCATGTGACTTTCTTGCACGGCTGTACAGCATCACGTCGCGCGCGAATTTTTAAACATGCTTGGAAAGTTCTCAAGTCTTCTGAGTCAGTTTGTCGGGTACTTTCGCCTCCTTTCTATAGCCCTCGTTAGCTTTCGTTCACGGCATTGTTCGGTATTATTTCACCTCCTTTCTCTAGCCCTTGACTCGCTATAATTCATGGCATTGTTCAGTACTGTTTCGCCTCGTTCCCCAGAGCTGGCCCGCTCTTTGTCGCGATCTTCTTCGCTACCTCTTTGCCTGTTAATTCTTGCTTTCTGTGTTTTTGCTTCAGTGCAACCGTATCTTAAAAACATTAGATCAACCTCCACTATCGTTTGTCGACATAACAAATAGAAATGAGTTTTCTTTTCTTTAAAAATCCCGCCAAAAAATGTCATTCTTCCGCTACAAACCGAGGGTACATTTCTCTGTCAACCTATTAGCTGGAGTATGGCCGCCATGTTGGGCAACTCCGCCGCCGAAGTCGTCGTCGTCGTGCGTACGCGCCCACGAACAATTCCGCTAGCCATGAAAACCATGAGAAAATCCATTCATGGGTTTCCTTTTCTTTCCCATATGAGCATGGGGCTCCGCTTGGCGGCCCTTCGGGTCGCCGGAGCTCCGCTATTACATAAATCGATCATGCTAACCAAGTGCGAGGACTGTTCTGGGAGAATTTCGCCCCAGGTCTTAAAAGTACGGAACAAGCGCAGCGAGGTGTGACCGTACAGGAATAGACCGAGGGCTCCTATTCCAGTCCCGAGGAAGCTGGGAGTTGTGTTACGCAACTAAAAATGTTTAGAAAAAAAATTATGACAGATTTTAAAGACACCGCGAACTTTAAGCACATGCTCAAAACTGAGACACCGCGAACTTCAAGGGCGTAATTCTGATTGAGAGCCAACATAGCGTTTTATGTTTTTATAAATTAATTATTAAAGTAGAAGAAAGCGAATCCCGACCAAATACTTATTACACACTGCACTGCTAAGAGGTGGCTGCGTCCGCAATACGAGCGGTAGTCAAATTCAAACAGCCAAAACGACACCGTCGATAATAGTCTTTTTTGTTTTCGCAGCTGGAAAAAGAAAGACAATACTAAAGTTGTCTTAGCCTCTTCTACTTAATTCTGAGTTTATTTTGACGAGGAAAAGCATATTTTGTTTTCCAAATGACGCAACTATTGTCTTACCTGGCGACAGCGATCATTGAGCAAGTTGCCAAACGCAGGTGGCCTACTTTTGGCGCCAAATTAAAAGCCACAACATGTTTTATATTTTGTCACTTTTTACAATCTGATATGGGTGTTGAAATTATTTCGTGAGTATTAACTATAGTTTCCAGTGAGAAAAGTGGAACGACTTCAATACCTTTCCTGTTTACATGCATTTGACGCCAGGACAGTACAGTTTTCCAGCTGCTAAATCCTGATTGGTCAATTGAAATTTCAGACGTACCTGAGTAGGCAAGAGGAGCGATCGTATTGGTTGATTTTTGCTGAACTAACTTAGTTGTGTAATTACAACTGTCAAAGATGTAATGTATATTTTATTCCCGACGGAAACAGGATATAACATAAGGAAAGGCCGCGTGAAAACACCGTCCTTTATGAGGCTCTATTTATTTTCCTCTCTCAAACTTTACATTTGGGAATTAATTGTTGAGGTTTGTTTGCAATACTAAATTAAAATAGTTTAATTCGATTTTATCGCTCGATAAATTTCCTCGAATAGAATTGCAGCAATACACAGCAAATTGAAATAAAAATGAAAATACAAAGATTTAAGCCCGACCAAATTTCAGATATTAAAGAAACGATTGATTACGTGACATAATTATTCAAATGATGCTTGTTTAGGAAATTTGTTGTCTCAAGAGTAAATCAAACGTGCTTTTTTTTAAGAGAACAGTGTCAGTCACCAGCAGTCAGAGTTGTCAGCCAAAGTTTCAAGATACAACAGTTGACTTATTTCCTTTTTTATGGATAAATCAACAGCCTTCATGCGACAACTGCACTAAAAATCATTTGACTTAGCTTGGCGTTCAAATGCTGAGCGGATTTATTAATCTCTTTCAATCTTTTCAGGTAAGATAAGTGCCTGTTAGCTCGATGGAATCATGTGAATTTTAGCTTAAACAACCACTAAGTCTGTCTATGTTATTAACGGTCTTCCAAAGTATATAGATTTACCAAGCATTGTGTTCATTTTATGGAAGAACAGTGTTATTTATTAGTAAGAATTTCTAGCCATTTGTTATGTGGGTATAGCTGATCTACACGTATGATGTGTGTGCTGGTTTCATTTGTGATTGTCTGTTGTTGTTTGAGATAACACTGGAAACAAAGTAATGGCTTTCGTAATTAAACTGAGCAACCACCGTGGACACAGGCTTATGTCATAAAACAGATTATTCCAATTAGCCATTATATTTTACTGTTTTAAATAAAAACCTTTATTATTCATCTAGAGCTAGTTATTCACTCAAATACACGATTCGACGCTTCCATTTCGCAAGAATCTTGGTATTTCAAAAACGAGTGGGATGAAATGTAGGGGGGTTTTACCCTTTATGTTGCTTAAGGTTCATTTTAGAATGCAATGTCAAAACTTTGTCAACATGACGACATGCAATACTAAAGAAACTCTACAGTAGTAAGTGAATGTCTTATGTCTCGAACAAACTGACAGGAAAATACACGAAAATCAAGCTCAAAAATGGGATTTGGATATCAGACATTATAGGAGAGGACAGGCTTCATTTCCGGCGGTGCACGGAACTTTTGGAGAAACGTAAACCAAGGTAATGCAGATGCAATTAACGCTGTGCAGATTTCTATGCGCTTGCGTTAACGTATTTGGTGTTCACCTCATTCTGTTAGCCAATCAGTGTTGAGTTTAAATATGCATTTTTTTATCTTCTGTGAGTCAGGATGGCCTCTTGTGCGTTTACTGGAATAAAAGTTTATCCTTGTAAAAAGAATAGGTTTACCTTTTCATTTAGCCTAGGCAATTTTTCATTTGCGACCCTTACCTACCTAAAATCCCACGTCGAGAGGCAATTAATCTTAAACTAAAAGCGAAACAAAAATTCAAATTTAAAAACGTTATATTTGTTGAGTGGATAGACATATTTGAAACAAGTTTTTTCATTTTGAGGTCCTTGTTGAAAATTCTTCAATATTATATCGCCTGGTACCAAATTTGTGACGTCGCGTTCCTGTGAAAAATCCCAAAATATTAAAACCTAAAAACTTAGTATTTAAGAGAATAGCATTCTCTATATTGTGGCAAATGTTCGGGATCAGATAACTGAAATAGAAATTAAGTGGACACGTTAGTGAAGTGCATCTTTTTGGGCACAAAGAACATGAAAGTCATTTGTGTCTACCGTGTCTCGAAAACATTCAAACCTAGCTATAGACTGTTTTGACTTTCGTGGCCAGTACACTCCCCTTCCCACTTACATTTTATTTCCTTTCATGACAAGAACAATACAGCATTGAAATATAATCTTTATAAAACCCAAAATCTCGCAAAGAGAGAATTTTAAACTCCTTCCTCATGAATCCGGATATTTTAAAAACGGAGATTTTTGTCTCCGTTTTAGCCTTCTGTCCACGCTTAAGCGGTGCTTTCAGGCACCAGAAACAGAAAGAGTTTCGAAAACGGTTCCCAAAAGGGAGGTTTTCTTTTTAAAAGCCGGCTCATTGTTTGGGTGTGCACGGACGACAGTGGAGCTTGTCGAATGCGATGTTGTCATAGATCGTGTCCAGTCTTTCCCGGTCTGCGTTCTTCCCAGTGAAAAATCAAGATGGCGGACAGACATCTTATGTCGTTCCTACTTGGGGTTCTTTCAAGCGTAGGCCGATTTCCAGTCGACATTTCACAGCGGTTTTTTCAACTTAATGCTCAAATGCAACTTTCGATTGAAGTTCTACTTCGTCATCTGTTCAAGTGAATGAGTCAGCCCTGCTTTTGGTCGAGGAATTCCTGGGTGTTTTAGCCGATTTCGACATATTGTAAGAGTTTTGAACAAGAGTAAACAGTGGAGTTTACACCTTACTAAATTGGTTCCAATAGAGTCCTAAAGTGATGACGTCGCAAAAATAATATTTTTGAAAATATGGGATATGATGTCATATTCTTATAGAGGATCCTAAAAGATGCCCTCATC